TCAGTAACTTCCACGGAAGACATAATTTTCAGGTGTTGTCCCCTAAGGATTTTTATGAATTAATTGTCAGATGATGAAATAACACATTTTAACTAATCATTAAAAGCCAGGGATCACTAGACATTTCTTTTATTATAATTTAAGACTCTTCAGAGGTGGACATCCATTACCCCACCAAGGATCACATCATCAGAAGGGCAGATTTATCATTCAGCCACAGTCACAGAATTAAATAATCCAAACAACGATTAAAAATTAACATAATGTTCATTGGCTATGGCCTACAGAATGGTTTTTCTGAAGTCCTAACGAGAAGTTGTGACTAGTATGATTCATCAAGTTGGGCTTTAGTACAGATACACTAACTGATGGTGAGGGCTATATGCCGTGAAATGAAAAAACCTTGATTTCATGAGCAATTCGAATTGCTTCCTGCAGCTGAATTGTCGACTAACTCGTCTCGATGTCAGGTGTGTTCATCATAGTATACTACAGAAGAGACCCGAACAAGGACAAACAGTATCCAAATTCATAAAATGAATGAGTCAAAATACTGGAAAAATAATTCAGTTTTAAGTGAAGCCGTGTTTAAACGTATATCTTTCTTCTCAATTTTCAAGGATCTAGTTGACTATAGCGGAGAATCTATATCTACTCATCATACTGGCACACTTTTCTTCATTTAAATAATTTGTTGTTATAATTTTAAGAAATATGATCTATGCTAATTATGTGCAGACTTAAACGTATGAGTTCATCCTTCAAATTTTTTGAAACTTTAATTCGTCAATTATTTCATTTCCACATCACTTATTTTTCTCCCTTCACTTTCTTTCTTTACTTCTCCATATTTTTCACAGAATGTCACACATCCTATGCAAGGATTCATAATTTTTTAAATTGGCTAACGGTATAAGACACGTTTACAAAGTCATTTCAACACAGGAAGAATGTAAATGCACTGAAATCTGGACACATTTATTCTCACATCTGTAATATACCGTCAGTAAGTATGAGTCATCTCGCCGCTAGTGATGTCTCTATACATCAAGGTCAACCCAGATACATACGACCTATTAACCAATGAACGCTCAGCTCTTTTCTCTTCCTCATTGGTTAAATTCTCCAAATGAATTGATTGGCTAACCGTGAGGCTGTCCATAAGTTTTTATATCCTGTTCACATTATCGCCTTCGCATGATTCTTAGATATCCAACTCGTCGCTTCCTGTTAAGACGTTGTGTGTTATATCACTGAATAGTTTCCACATTGTATGCCCAATCCGTCTCAATTTCCTTTGGCATATTTATAGGGCTAACATGTTGTCAGAAAGAGACCCATGTAACCTTATCTTTGACAACCACACATGTGATATCCAATGTTGAGTGAATCGTTAGTCTGTTGATGAAAGTGTATAGCAGCCTGTTGGAAATGCTTCTGTGCCAATTCTCTGAATCGTATAGAAGCACAGATTTGACATTAGTGTTGAAAGACCAAATTTTGTCCATCATACTGAATGCTGTAGATCTGCAAACTGATTTCAGATGAATCAGCGTTTGTTTTGCTTTTCCGATCCTGACCAGCTCTGACATCCTCATCAATGCCACCTGTAATTGATTGGTTACTATTCAGGTAGAACAAGTGAAAGGGACGAATCCATTTACCCTCATCGCATCCTCCCTCTCTGCTTCTTCTGCCGACTTATTGGTTTTCACCTGTAGGTCTTCGTGTTACTGCGTTATTACAGACAAATCATCTGTGAAGTCCAGGTTTTCTAAATCCTTCTCATCCCAACGTATCACAGTCTATTCTGTCCCTACGGACTACCTCGTGATCTATTTCACCATCGATAATAGTAGGTAGACCTGTCTTACTCCCATATTTACTTTGAAGACTTCTTTGAGCTTTCCGTTGATCGCTAACAAAATCTCAGCACGGATACGGCAGGCTCATTTTGCATATGCCCACCAACTTACGCCATCTCTGGTGTAGACGCGATATCAGACTGCTGATCAAATGACATGTGTACTGCTCAGCAGTTCGTTCCATCCTCCTTTATGACCACACCCACATACAATATTATCCTATGGAACACCAATTCGAATGCCCTCTCTCTTATTGGACTAATAGTCTTTTATACTTCTTTTCTGTTATGGAAAGTTAGAAGGATACTTATCCTATCTCATGAACACGAAAAAAAACAGATGGATTTCATCAGAAAACAATACAAACTAGAGAACCATTGAAAACCAGAGACTGTTCGGCCCTTATTTTGGACTTTTCAGATGCAAAAACCTACGAGTGTACCAAGAACCGAACCTAAGACCTTCATGATACCTGAAGTCAGTTTAACGCTAAATTGATGCAGTAACCATGAATTTATAGATTCGATAACAGGCCAGGGTTTATAACCTTTTCGGACCCGGTGGTCTTATATATTACCTAGCTATAATGATAGGTGTTCCCGAGGACGAAAAACTAAGTTCCTAGAGCCAAGGTCAATACAGCTAACTCTGCATCAGCAGTTGTTATTATTATTACTATTACTATCGCAAACCTAACTGATAGAATTCAGTCTGTATCAAAGAAAGGACTAGACACATTGCACTAGTTACTAGTTTCCAATGAAAGTATCCACTACGGTCCAATAGGAGGTTAATCGCGAGCCTGAATAGCTCAGTTGTAACGTCTCTGACTGAAGCACTGAGTGATGTGGGTTCGAATCTCTGAGAGGACATGAGTTCCCTCAAGGTTGCAGATACGCCTTGCTGACTGGTGAGTGGCAACTAGCAGGAAACCTAGGTCGAAGGCTTCCTGTGATCGATCGCCTCCGACCATCTAATATTATCAAATCAATGTGCACCATGATGGCGAGCTACCTAGAATAGTGGCCACAGTACAACCTGACTGATAGGAATCAGTCTCCACCAAAGACAGGACTAGACACATCACACTACTTACTAGTGTCCAATCAAAGTTATTATCATATATTTAATTGCTTCAATGTTATTTTAAACACATTTATGTTGTCGATAACAGTCATTCTTTAACTTTTGTAGATTTATTGCTTTAGGATTTGATGAAGTTGTTGGAAAGAATACTCTTTGTTCATTAATCAGTCCTCTGAAATTATGATCTAACATTTTTTATAAATGATGTATAATTTGTGAGTGTCATGGTAGAATTTCTTCTTTTTCCCCAACTTGAATCTTCTTTTAAACATCTCTTGATTTCAATTGAAGTGTTATCTTTACTACAATTACTATGAAACGAAGTATAACAGAAATATATCTGGTGCAGTTAAACAGAACTTGAAGCAACTAATCAGAGTAAATCAGTCTAATTTAGGTTGTGATCAAAAAGTACATTCGAGAAAACAAAACCGACGACACTGATTGGGGTCGCGCTAAATCACGAACTGGTAGAAGTTAGAATTCATGAGTTGGCCATTGAATCGGGTCCTAGTGAGTGGCTTAAAGGTCTACAAGCTCGCTAGCCTTGTAACAAGCAGGTCCTGGGTTCGAGTCATGGTGGTGGGTGCGCACTGATGAAGAGTCCCAAACTAGGCCGACGACACAGCTGTCTAGTACTTCCTGCTGGTTTCCAGCGGTTTCCCAGCTGATATCATCCGTGATCAACTCGTAAAAACGAAACTAATCCTTACAAACCAACTATAGAAGATTTAAAAGTGTAACAATACTAAAAAGGTTCTCCTCCCTTAAAATATCAATGAATAGTTATCAGTTCTCAAAAGTAATAATGCTTAATATTCATTAGAGTAAATATCGTTCAGAGTTTAATAATAGTGTAACAACAGAAGGCAAGAGCCGGCAACAGATCGTTTTATTACGGAAATCAACACGTTTTTATATATATTTCACATACATTAATATAGCTTATTCAAGTAGACAAACGCAGTCTTCTGATTGGTTGTTTCTCGGAAGTTAAGCAGACAAACGCAGGCTTCTGATTGGTTGTTTCAGGTAACCATCGAAAAGTAGAGCCATCTATCTGCAAATCATATTTGCCCACGTTAAGTTTGCTGTGATTGGTTGTTGAATCAGCCTTGTTCATATTTTCTCACGGCCAATATTAGTGACCTAGACATTGACGTAGATTAGTGTCTACCAATTGGCTAGCAGCCTGCTCTCACCATAATAAGATTAACGGTAAGTGCCTTAAATAGGCTCTATATGTCCTGAAGTATTTTCGTTATTATTAAAAGTTAAATCGATTTCACCATAACTTGTATATTTATCATTACCTGTCCAAACTGCGATTAGTCACCTCGAATTCATTGAGCAGGTCTTTAGTTTTACCATAATGCATACAACTTATGGCCCATAACCATTTTTTCTTCATCAATGTATTGTCTTATGAGTGGTACACAGATCTTCAGGTTTCAGCTTTAACGTTCTAAGGAGCGGTAGTTGTGTTGCTTCTACTCATTGAGATTTCTAGCCTCAAGCCAAATCTTCCCTCTCTGTCTCCCCGGTTAACTCTCAGCCAGTAAATTTAGGGCAAAGTTTATGAGTTCGTCGGCCAGTAATTGAAACAAGATTCACTTTTTGCAAAAGTTTAAGTTCAAATCCTGAAGGATTAAACGAATTGAATGACATAATACGGTTTACACATGATGAAGATTTGTAGCGCAGGTGCATAATATTGCTGATGTTATGTTCTCAGAGTTGGATGGATTATAACTTTGAAGCTTTCATCATCTTCCTAGGCAGCATAATCCATGCAAGTTTCATCATATGCGAATGGTATAACCAACTCACTTCTGGTAACCTTTATTGTGATCATTATCATTACTGTGATTTTTATTCTTGTCCACTTAGGTTCTGAGTGGAACTTAGGGCTTCAAAAGTCCTGCAGCGAACTTTTAGCTGACCCTGTAATCACCCATAGTCTCTGATCTCCCCTATGCTACCCTCGGACCAACGTCTAACTTGGCGTTTCCCATTCGGGTTCCATTCGAGCGACAGCCTAAAGCGTGTTGTCATTTGACGTATGTCCGATCTATCCCCATTTACTTGCTGAGCAATATATTCGTGAATATTTGGCTCCCAGAGTTTCTTGTTCGTAATTCTTTCCAGCCTGTTACCTGATCTTCAGTCTAGAGCTAGAGAAGTCTGTTCGGAATGCTTTTTAGTAAAGCGCCAAGTTCCTGACCTGTATAGAAGAAGTGACTGACATGAAATTGGTGTTGAAAATCCATATTTTGTTGTTGACGCTGAGTGAAGTATATTTCCAAACTGATTACAGAATGATGAAGGTCTGTCTTGCCTTTCCAATTCCGATTTTAACATCCTCATGCCTGATTGTTTGTATGATTTAATGTAGAGTCATGTGATCAATATCATTAGAAGGCATTTAAATAACATTAACAATTAATCGATAAATCTTAACTATAATGTGAATATAATGTGAATTAATGTAATGGCTAAAAAACATCAAAAAGATGGTAAAATTAAAAAGTTAGAACGTAAATCAAAAGCGAAACAAGACAGACCTAATTCAGAACTTGACTGTAACCAGTCTGAATCATCACAACATGAAATTTATCCGTCTACAGATTATCCACATCAATATCATCCTCATTATGACATAGAAAGACAACAACAATATCCACAAGATAGAGAACACTATCAACCTCGTCATCACAACCCATACTATCAACACAGTCAGCAGTTGCAACAACAACACCAACATCCCAGGTATCCTCAACGACATCAACGTCTATATCAATATTTCCGAAAGAATACAGATCTATCAAAGAGTACAGCATCTGGAGATGATTCGAAATTCACTTATGCTTGGTGTCAATTATGGTTATGTGTAATACTTATCTTATTATTTCCATTCACTATATTCGGTTTAATAACACTTGTATTAATGTTAACAGCTTATACTGATTTAAACAATAAACAGTTTAGACAATATCAACGTAAGATAAAACGAACAAAGTATATATTAGCAACAGTTTATTTTACAATATCACTTTTATTCTCTTTAGGCCTAACAATGATAATTATTTTATCGTCTACAAATATGTTGAATAAAGCTGAAATTTTAAACAAAACACGTGGATATTTAAAAAAATTAATTCAATGATCAACAATATATTAATATATATATGATATTGAAGGGAAGCGTTCCGCTTCAAGTCATATTACGCTCCGCGTCCAATATTCAAAATTCAATGTTCAATGGAACAAGTCAAAAAAGCGGATAAACACGGAAACTGGTAAAATTTTGGCTTTTGTTTTATTCTTTTTATAAAAATGACTTAATATACTGTAAATACTTTGAATTAATTTTAATTTTTCTTAAAATTTTATTATTTTTAACGCTTAACTCATTTAAACTAAGCGAATTTACCAGTGCATAATAATTTGCATAAATAATAATATATTCTTTATGTAAATTAATTAAAGCATCTCTATAGTCAATTAATGCATCCCTGTAATCACAATGAAAACAAATACATTTCTTTCTAGCCATTAAATGATTTTTAAACCATAATTTAATTCTTTCCCATTTAGGTGTAGCCATTTTTTGTATATACAAGCGTACAGCTTCCATATAAGGTTCACATGTTCTACGATATAATCGTTCATTTTCTTGAGCTTCAATTTTCTCAATTAAATGTTCAATATCATAGTGAAATTCATTTGTATTCAGCGGATATTTTTTGTTTAAATCAGTTTCTTTCGATTTTTGGCGAACAGTTATAGCAGTGTTATTCACATAGATTTGATTATCATCTGTAGTAATAGTATCAGCATGAAATAGGTTATGATAATCTCTGTGTAATGAAATATATTCTTCGTATAGTTGACCTAGTGCACTAGTCAATGGTTGAATTAAATATCCAAATTCGCATAATTGATAACATTTACATGGGAAGGGTAATTTTTTATTCTTTCTAAGCGCTTTACGTATACGTTGTTCTTCGAGTAGAATATGCTTAACATCACGATAGATACGTGGATTATTTAACTCAACCATAACACGTAAATCATCATCTTCAGGGAGATTTTTAGCCATTGAACCAGCATAACTATCATCATCGTCATCGATTGTTAATTCAGTATCCTCTGTGTCTACTGTTTGTTGAAGGCTAATACCACCACCAACACCGGTGATATTGCTAGTCCGAGTTTGATGGCCATCAGCTTCAGTACTCTGACGACTAACAGCAGTGTTAGATTTTCTTTCTTGTGATGAGAGTATAGATCGTTTCATGATGCGTCAAAACTGCAAACACTGAAATTTAATAGAAGAATAATTTGAGTGTAGTAATAATGTTAGAAATAAGTTGCTATCTGCTTACAGATGACGGAGTAGGTTTATAAGCTCTTTTCTGATGTTTGTCTCTTCACACAAGACCCATGCTAAATAAGGTATGGTTATATTTTCATATTCAGTAACCGTATGAACATAAATTCTTATGAACTTTCTTCTGGTTTTGTTGGTAGAGATGTTCAGCATCAGACAAGTTGACTTTAGTCAGTTACTTGCAAGAATTAAAGTGTTTGTCATTAGATGGTTGGAGGCAGTAGACAGGAAGCTTTGGACTTAGGTTTCGTGCTTGTCAGCACTCTTGAGCGGAGCGTTTCTACAGTCATGAAGGAATTCATTTCTCTTCTGAGATTCAAACCTGTGTCATTCCATTCTACAGATACGCCTTGCTGACTCTTGAATATCAACGGGCACGAAACCTGAGTTCAAGGCATCCTGCCTATCGCCTCTAACCATCAGAGTGTGAAGTTAACTACGAAAATTCAATCTGCATCAGTCGAAGGACTTAGTGTGCGATACTAGTTACCATATAGTGTCCAGTCAAAGTAAGTAAGAAGTGTTCATTAACAACAACAACGTCATTTAGTTGATTCAGAGGTACACCACTAATCCAGCTAGTGTAGTATAACATAGTCTTTTTTGAAAAGCACGCCGAAAAATAATAGCGAAGAACAAAGAATTAACAGCATATAGATTGAAAACCTTTAACAAAGGAGGTCAATTTATTCCTGAAAGTCTCAATTTCCCTTATATAATTAGTCAGGAGAATGATTATTTTAGAAATCCGCAAGATGTGAGATGGCTAACAAAGATATGAAGAGGAATTGACACGAAGATAGGTGATATTCGAATTATTTCCTACCAAAGTGTCATCGGTGATACAAGATTCATGTAAATTAGTCGCTTCATGCAAATCGTATTCATGCCTGAAACTAAATTTAACAGCCTGACATTTTGTGGGATTCAGTATAAAACCATTTGAATAACACCATTGACTGACTTCAGATAAGAAACCAATCTGATTCATAAACTGTCGAGCTAGAAATTTTCAAATCATCAGCATATTTGATGAAATATGCTTTAAAGGAACATGATAAGTCGTGTAGAAAGAAAGAAAACAAAAATGAAAGATGTGCATCGCCTTGTCATACACCAGCATCAGCAGGCAAAGAAGCTTAATTGTTTCCTACCCTATAAACACGAGGAAAACCACCCTGTGACCAAGCGCTCGGTACCTGCTAAAGTCAACTTGCTCAACAAAAGTGTTCTGGGAATAGAATCAAAAACAGTAGTGTAGTCTAACAAACTTCGCACTTCTGTGTAGAATGCAAATAATATCACAATGAAGTAAAATAGCAGTCTCTAAAGTGTTTCAACTTCATTTTCTAACCAATCTGCACCACATCGACGAACTGAGATGAACAACAGAACTGTTTTGAGGAAAATGAGGCATTCGAGAAATAATATCCCTCTTGGTTTCAACTTTTTAGAGTTGTCCATCGACGATCTCCTAATAAATCAATGACCTTTAATCTTCCTAATTCATGAATTAGGAATTTACGCATTTAATCAAAGGGAATAAAAAGACACTTACAGCGAAGAAAATTTTCCTTTCGACGAAATCATCAAGTAGTCTAAACATTATTGCATTTATGATAAATGGACAGGAAAGTTCCAGAATAATTTCTGGTCAAGGGTCAGGTTAATAAGGTTATAATTAGGAATTAAAATGCCATAATAAACAGAGGGATGGATAAATCTCAGGCAAAGTAGTATCATAACTACTGAGAGGATTGACTTATTGTGCAGTTTAGGGTTTAAAAATGTAGAAATTACAAAAATAGACAGGATATTTGGATAAAAAAATCTAGTGGGAATTAGGAGTTTTCACATAATAGCCGTATACCTTTGTAATGGGGAATAATTCCACGAAATCATTTGACGAAAACTTCCTCATCATTCAGTATTATTTGCTGACACAGTTTAAAATAATCAAGAAATATTGTAAACAAGGCAGGGTTTAGTGAGTTCGTCAAATCTTGGTAGAACTCCTCAACTGCTCAAAAATTCTATATATATAGTTAGAATTACATTGGGAGATATATTGACTTACAAGTAAATAAACTGCTCTGAGTGAGTCACATAAAACTGCTGATACGAGAGTTTCAAGGGGGAATTCGGATATATGAGGAGGAAAGGGTATCAGAGACATGTAGTAAGTGAAGAGGCTTGTGTAATTCGAGTTTATAAATCCGGTCTCTGTGTACAGAAAGAAATGATGGTTACTTTGAAAATACCATGGTAATATGTCACAATTACTAACTATTATTACTTTATTCTATTTCTTCTTCTTATTATTATCTTTATCTCAAAACTTTCTTTTGTCAGTACCATTAATTTAACTTATCTAATTGTACGTTTTATTCAGTTATAATTCTCTAGTTGATTGATTGAACCGAAATGTCAGGCCCCAGTACAGAGGCTTAAACGACAACTAAAGATAAACTTAAAGTAAAGTAAGTGGATGGTGACTAGCAGTGGGATGTAGGATGAGCATTTCTTCCTATTTGAGACTCGTCATCTGGACATAGCTGCATTCCATCTGAGTAGCCCCAAAAATGATTTAGGAGATAATTTTTTGGCATTTGAAACGACGGGTACTGGGCTCCAGTCTCAGTGGGAAAAGCATCACTCTCTAGGGAATGCGCGTAAATCCAACTGACGGGTTCCAAACAAGAGGAAATGAGTATCCTGAATTCCACTGCTAGTTTACTATCCTCTAAATTACTTCAAATTCTTGAATTAATAATATGACTATTATTATAATTCACTTTGAAATTCCAAACAGTACGCATCCACTGGGGTTCGAATCAAGGACCTTCTGGTTACAAAGCTAGCGAGCTAGCTCGTAGACCACTAAGCCACATACTGGGACCCAATTGCCTATGAATTCCAACTTCTGCCAATTCACGACATGGTGCGATCACTAGGTAGTGTCTTCTTCGATGAGTCACTGCCTCACCTTCTCTCATAATTAACTATTTATTTAATTGATGCAACTCAACAGTAATGCATTGTTACCCTGAAATTCACCACATGACCTCAAAAACATTCACACCTTTCGTTCTGCATAACTGATTCAATGCAGTTTATTTACTTATCACTCATATAAATTCCAATATATTTTTAATGTTACACATATCCCTGTATATACAGCATTCATCTGAGGGGTTCTATGGAAATTTGATGAATTCATTAAACCCTGCTTTATTAACAACATTTGTTGCTTATTATAAATTCTTGTTGGGAAGTAAATGTTTCCCACAATCATAGAGATGATATTACTTAGTGGGGGAGGGGGTACTAGCGCAGTGGGAATCTTTAGGGCATGTGCATTTAGTCCCACCTTAGACTCATCAACTGGCGACTGTTTTAGTAGACTGGTTCAGTTGTTAATACAGGATCCATAGCTGGCTAAGCACATATCGTGACTTAAAACTATAGATTCTGAAAATTATATTTCATGTTTTAAACAATGCGACTGCTGTTCTCAATAAACTCAGTAACTTTTTTTGGTCTACATTAAATAAGTACATTTGAGATTTGAAGATAAAACACAAAATAGCATGGAAATTGACTGTTAATTTTCTGATTTTTTGGTTTAAATACCTTTTACTTTCTATTTAAATAGGTAGTTCAAATGTGGATATATTGGAAAAGATTTGTAGCTCAGGTGGATGATATTGGTGTAATTGAGTTCCTAAGTTAACTTCAAATTGAAGTCTATGCTAAAAATGCTGTCTAGAAAGACACTAACTAAACTATACAGCTCAGAGAACACACCTACACTGTAATCATCCACCTGAGCCACAAATCTTCTCAAATATTTTGCTTATCAATCTACTTCCTTCTGAAAACTTCGATCATATGCAACCAATATCCACAAAATATACTTGTAACAAAATCTCCTACCTCTTCAATATGATAGACTATATTCTCCATGACTTAAACAGAACAATTAATCATATCAAGTCAGAATTGGTATGCGTATCATCATCAGCATTTCGGAATCTCGTCAACACCTGTCCTCTTTCGTTAGACACTGATAATTTAGATATAATGGAGAAGATTTGTAGCTCACTCAGGTGAATGGTTTTGGTGTAGTTGTATTTTCTGAGCTAAGAGAACACAATTACATCAAAATACTGAAAATTAGATGACTGGAAACTGAAAAGGATAAGCAATGAAGAACTCTAATAGCCATCAACCTATTCCTCAAAACAGATACTGAATAAAATGGAGATAGAGATGAAGACTTCCAAGTGCTATCACGCGTTAGCACTCGAGTAGAACCATATTTACAAGTGATCAATCGGTCATCCAAGAGTAATATGAAGAAGATTATATAAGCAGGAAATGAAAGTTTGTGGGCAGTTTTGAGGCCTACTGAAATCAATGACAGTGAAACAGAACATAGTAGGTTCCTAGTGGAATACATGGCTTCAATAGGACATCCCTATTTCACTTTGTTTTCTGTAATCTTGTTTATCTAACTCACGAACACTCATAAGCTTACACTTCTTCTTTACACGATCTCATCCATATTACCAGGGGACTTACGCCCAACTTGTTGCTTCCAATGGAATAATCAGTTTCCTAATATTTTACCATTACAATTCTGTTACGTAATACTTTGTAGGAAACTGCTTACTATAAATCTTTCAAACAAAGATTTTAGGAGAAAGAAGTAAACTGCTTCACACTTTCAAGTGTTTTTTATGGGAAGGAAGTATCCGTAACTTCTAAAGGTGACTGAAATGCCTTCCAGTTTTATAAAATTCAGTTTAAAAACCAACACCTACAGTCCAAATTAGGTTGTATAGTAACAGTTCACGGGATATTTATTCTCACGTTTCTTTCCCTTCCGAGTGAAATATAGGGCTTCAAATTTGAGCTTCGAAAATGAAGCTGTACACTAACTCTAACCAAATTTTGTTTTTAAAAATAATTCATCTAGGTGTATTAGACTTTTACAGAAACTGATTTTATGTGTGGTCGGCGAATAATTATTTACCATTGTGTAACTAAACATGCGTTTCTGATTATTTAGCTATATATTTTGTAGCCAAGCAACGTTGGTTTATGTTCGTATACATTAAAAGTTCAATTTTGATAATATTGCAATTCCCGAAGTTTCCACTTGTATCTTGATACATCGTTGTCGGTATTTAGTCGTACACGGAGCTTAGAGCATTAGAGAACGTAAAGACGTAGTTGTATTATAGCATACAGATCGGAGTTGGATAGTAGCAAGGAACAAGTCGTAGTGTTGCCTTTACAGCGTGAGGCTATTAGCCTCACACCAAAACTACTCCCGTTTCCAATCTTATTGTCAGCTGGTAAACGAGGCGAGGTTTGGAAGTACATTAGCCAAAAATCGAATCCGAACCTCTCCTTTGGAATATTTACATGAAAGTGGTGTAGATGGATTGAAATTGAAACCTTTCCTGTTAACATTTTAGACTTGTATTATGAGTTATTAAAGTATTTTTTCTTAAATTGCTGCAATTCTTTCAAATTTTGGTGAAGACAAAAGTTTTATTTAATCTTAGTTATTCCCGTCGAAAACAAATGCCATTGTCATAAACCATTACATTAGAAAATATCTATTTTATAGACACATGGGTCGACATAGAGATTAGTCAGAAAGGTATATTCTAATTTAAGTTAGACATTGTTTCAATGCGATTCAAAGAGGGAATAAAAACGAATAGTGGAAGCCCCTTATTTTCGTAACAAAGAGTCAACATATCTGTACCATATCACCAATTTTCTGCAGCCATCAGTTCTTAGCGTCTTAACGACCCCAGCTGGACAGTCTGCACCTGCCTATGTAGCTGGCACAAACCAACAGTCAAAGAACTCATGGATTGACCCCATGTTTTGATTAGACCACCTCTTACTCCTTTTCAGCCTAATCCTTTGTCGGCTGACATTGCTGCCTAGACAATGAATTCAGGAATATTACAAAAGGTCTGTATCCCAGATAGATGATTCCAGTGTTCATACTTTCATAACTATATGGTTTAATTGGAAATCTTCACTTTGAAGTCAATGCTGAAGGTGCTTTTCAAATAAACCATCTGGTTCAGGAAACATGACAACACCAAAATGAAAAATAGGAATTTAAAAGTCAAAGAAAGAACATCTAGGTTCCTCCATCTATAAAATACTATACTAAGTAACCTAAATTCAGATGGTTCGAACTAATTCGACCGTTTTAGCTAAGTCAAACCGAACATAACACTGATAAGCCTGGTTATAAGTGAGTGAAACGACCATACAATGCTTAGACCACTTCACCCTGGTCAGTAAGTACCACCGTTTAACATGAATGAATGCTCAGAATGAATCTCAGAAGGGATATGAGTTCCTTCAAGGTTGCAGATACATCTTACTGATGAGTGCCAACTAGCACGAAACCTAGGTCCAAGGCTTCCTGTTGATTGCCTCCAACTATCTAATAAATCATGAATGATTTCTAACTACTCGTATCGATCAGTGGTATAAATTTTACCTACTGCAAAGTTTATCCTTCTTAATTCAGTCATAATTAATACCTTATAGTATAATTTTCATAGATTTAAGGTAGTATTATGTGCTTTGATGATTCACTGGTTTCAGGCTTGACAACAACACATGTAGTCCATGTTCGATTGGCGGCTGATGCATCCCCAAACTTCGCTTAACCAGTAATAAGCTCGGAAAAAGAGGGGAGCTTGTATATGAGACTGTCAACCCCATCCTATGAAGTAAAACAAAACACCATCGCTAATGATAACACGAAGCTCAAGCTTGAAAACCCATGTTCCGCTTGAATAGCAAATGAATGGGAAAAAAGCTTGACTTTGTTGTGTATTTGACTGTTAAGTGACTGACTGGTCAGGAAGTTAACAGATTATAATTCTGTACCGACAATCATGTTTACGAAAAATATATCCTTACTGTAATTTGGAAACACCACGGAGTGCACTGATGAAATTCCTTATAAAGCTCATGCTGCTACAGCTATACGATGATGCCACATGTCAAGTGATTCACAACGGAAAGCCTGCCGAAATGTTTGATGTGAGGACTGAAGTAAAACAAGGCTCTCTGCTATCACCAATAATGTTTTGGGTTCTGATAGGCCGATACATACAACAGACCGTGGAAACCAAGAAGGCCAACGAGAAGACACTGGAAGTTTTGAACTTTAAAGATAATCTGTGTCGAATGTCACACAAATTCGAAGGTTCTTTAGGAGACTATTACGCAACATCATGAGCAGCGTTCTCGAGTGGAACCCGACTGAGAAGAAACAAGTTGGGTGTCCCAGTGTGACGCGGAGGAGATCATATGAAGAAGAAGAAAAAGAGAAAATCGTGGGCAATCATGAAGTCAGTCAAAGAAGACCGCATAGTACAGAGTGAAATGGCAATTGATGGAGTGATGGAGCTCAGTGTTCCACATAGAACCCAAGTGAATAGTATATGATAATATAATACGATATAATAATGCAATACATACAATTCACTTACCGGTAGACACAACCGACTAACTATGATCTAATGTGTTTTTTTTTCAAATAATTGAAATCACGTGACAAAATTATCGATCGTTTATTTTGTATTATGCATTAATTTTTAACATCATACATAATAAGTATGTATAATACGCTTTTAATTATGCAAGTTATCTTTACATCTGTGAAGATAATATAAAAATGATAAGATAAATTACTGATATATATCCATAAAATATGTGTGTTTTGTTTGACAGTCTGTTATATTTACTAGGTATATATGGATCGATATTCCATTATAATTAGCCAATCATGTTAAAACTGCCTATTGATTTGTTCATTTTGAATATTCGCTCACACACTTGTGTTCACACACTTTCGGACATTCATATTTCGCTCTCACACTCTTGTGTGACATTTGATTCTCCTTGTGTTTGGAAAATAGAAGTATCATCGCAAACCTAGTGGTCTTCTGATTTCCGTCTTTCTTGCGTCAGGACTATTAAATTCTCGACCAGTACAACATAATAATTTGGCGACGAGTAGATAATAATTACATAGCTCATTTTTTATGTAAAATGTGAACAAGATAAATTACAATGAAATTACAATCTAGATAAACAGTGGAGATTGTAAATCAATATACAAAGCATAAAGTGAAGAAGCTGAACTAGGAAAGAAAATCAGTAAAAAACAGAAAGTGAATAGTCTGTTCTGATAACAGTTTCAGTATGCGGTTATACTTGATCAAATAAGAAAGGAAAGGCACCTGAGGCGTGGAAGAAACGCTGCATTGTCAAACTATCGAAGAAGGCAGACAAAAGCCTTTGCAAGTTAGCATAGAGAGGACAGAGGTGATGAAGATACCTGGAAACCACCAACAATAAACACCAATTACCATCAACCGGAGAAATCTAAAAGAAGTTGCCTTTTTCCCCCACCTAGGTAGCATCGTTTCAACTACAAGCTGCATGAATGAGGATGTTAAAGCTACCTAGGATCGCGAAAGCAAGACAGGAATTCACTAATTGGAAATAAAGGTGGAAATTCAGAACAGTCAGAGGAAATGAAGATGGATTGGACATGCACTAAGAAGAACAGTAAATGACACTACACGTCAGGACCTCGAGTGGACCTTAAACAGGGAGTGACGAGTGAACCAGATGTTCGAAGGTGTTAAAGGAGAGATAATGTAAATAGGAGTGACAGGTTACAAATAATCGTGAAACCAACTAAGAAAGGCAGCAGAGAAGAGAATGAAATAGGGATGTGGTACCCAAGGCCTGAGCTCCAAACAAATCCAAGGGACGAGTAATATAATAATAGTAATAATAGTGATAGAACAATGCAGCATATATTGATATATCACTATACACGTCATTTCAGTGTCTATATACAGCGTATATGTAGTCACAAGAACCGGTAAGAACGACAGTACGTTTTAACAACTCCACTACAGAATAAATAATGTCTGACAACACTCAATGTACCCCTTAAAACCAACAATAAAAACAGCAGCTTTCACATTTGATCACAAACTGATGCCATTTAGAGAACAACTGAATACCGGGGAATACTTGACAGCCGTTTCGTCCTAGCTTGCTGCTAATCGTCAGTGGAAACACACCGCCGGGGTTCAAACCCAGGGCCTTCAGCTTATGAGGCAATCTCGTAGACCATTCTGCCACTGGAACCTGACTACTCTAAGGCCAGCACATGAAGCCCAACTTCTATCATTTGATTTTGGTGCAACCACAAACAAAATCTTAAAAATCAAACTGATGCTGTCTAATGACTGTATGAGGAAAGAATTTTCCTGGAGTTCCAGTGAAAAGCCGTGACCAGTGGGGTCCATCCCGTGGGGAGTGAAGACAAATACTCGCCACGAATGTCACTGGCTTGTGCCAGTCGCGCTAACCCAGAAGGTCCTGGGTTCGGAGCATAGCGGTGATTGCTTACTGGTGATGAGTCCCAAACTAGGACGAAACAACCTTGGTATTCACTGGTTCTCTTACTAATAATAATGCGTGATCAGGACTTGAAACAAATCAAATCCATACGAACAAACTCTTGAAAAGAGCAGCTTTATTTTGAACAAAATATTTATAAATAGTAGAAAATTTTCAGCTCGGTTTTATCTTCTCCTTATGCAGACTTTTGCTTTAGAACTGTCATCTACAGCATGTCATTTAGCAGAATTTTCTTCTATCTGCAACATACTCCTTCCGAACTCCGACGTATCTTCAAGTATTGGTTTTGTAGGGATTTTGTTTGATTACATGGAGGATTTAATCATGAGCTGACATCAGTTAGAGAACCATTGGAAAACCGTCTGGAAGTACTGGACAGCTGTTTCGTCCTAGTTTGGGACTCTCCATCAGTACGCACCCACCGGGATTCGAAACCAGGACCTACTGGTTACAAGGCGAGCTCGTAGACCATTAAGCCACCGGGACCCGATCCAATGGTCCTTGAATTCTAACTTCTGCCAATTCACGACATAGCGCGACCACTTCTCAATATCTTCTTCGATGAGTTACTGCCTCATCTTCAACCTGCTCTAACTGATGTCAGCTCATGATTAGATCCTCCATGCAATTAAACAAAATCCGACGTATCTGTCGCTTCAAAACAAACCAAATGGTTATTTTAAAAGCCATTCAAAAACACAGATGAGTACAAACTGTTCCTCAACAAGGACGTAAATACATGGTTAAAACAAAGTATAACTGATTAAATTTGAGTAAATTTGTGCAGTGTGGAAAATCAGGTATCCGTATGATTTAAACAGGGCGCGAATCCGTAAACGATAACTTAAGACGATTAAATTAGCCAAAAGTAAAACTCCCCCAAAAAGGGTATGGAGATAACAGAAAAAGTAAATATGCAGGGAAATATATTTCTGGAAATATCGATATCCCTAAATATATTTATGTGAGTATTTGTCGTAATAAAGGTTTTTGTATTTCCCAATGAATGAAAAACAAAACGATATTGTTTTTATTGAGTATTTGCCGTTTATAACTAACTAACCAACTCAAATATTCTAACACAAGAATTCTTGCGCTTTAGATATCATTTGGTTAAGGAGCGATGAGTCACGCGCGATGAATAATGTAGGCACGCACACACACAGGGGCAAAAACTAACTTTACTAGTACAAATCATCAGTGATTCAGCAGACAGGTGTGTGTGTGTGTGTCTGTGTGAGTAACATTAAAGATAGTCCATACAAAGGTTATAGAGAGAAAGACAGGAATAAGGTTTATTGGGAAGAGAAGTAAAACAAGAGTAAACTGAGAAAAATAACTGTTTTAGAAATTATTATTGGTTTCACACTTTCAACAAATGACTTGATTACACATGTGTCCTAATAGATTAATTTTTTTTCAAACAGACTTTATGAATTTATAATGTGGTTGCATTCTCCCAGCTGAATCTTTCAACTGCGAAGCTTTCATAGTCTGTCCAGGCAACATCTCCAGTGCAAACTTTTCATTATAAAGTGAACTTGTTTTAATTCTCCATAAATGATATAACTGTAGTAACTGTTACTACAAATATTCAACAAATTCTATTCAGCTACAAAGTTCACTCATGAAATTGAAAACGAATCTAAAATTCTTTTTCTTGATGTTGAACTTACAAGGAGAGCTAACGAAACTTTAAGAAGGTCCATCCACAGGAAACCCACATTGAACGGCCAACTGACAAGCTTCTACAGCTGGGTACCAAACAGTCTAAAGAAAAAACGTAATTAAATCTCTTGCCACTCGCGTCAGATGCATCTGCAGCTCTGATACCCTGGAAGAAGAAGAACTCCACTTCCTGAAAGAAATCTTCATACACAACGCTTATCCACTAAGATTCATGAACAAAAACATCTTTTGTTGTCGTTTCCTCTGGGAAAAATCCAAGAGCAAAATTATTGATGTACTTACGAGGAGAGTTTCCATTTCTTTAAGAAGATTTTTCTTCGCGGCAGCACTCAGAGTTGTGTTCTGCACTCACTCGCTGATCTACAAGATCTAGCATCTGACCACTTCTATGTGCATATATTAGTCTACCTGTTGCTGTGGAGCCAGGCATATCAGTCAGAAAGGATCAAAGAACACTATCCATCGTGGCTGTAGATATGAAGTAGTGGCCGTATAATTAGTGCAATAATCGAACATCTCGTCACCACTGATCAATTCATCTCAACAAACGCCTCCTGCTTCAAAGTAATCTACAAAGTGAAAAACAACCTATCAAAGACAATACGTTTCTGTCTTCTATGCGTTGCAGAAGCCATAGCCATTCAGTTAGAATAATCAGAACTATGCATAAAAAAGAAAATTATTCAACCACTTCTCCTATCATGGTAACAACTCCGTTGATTAGACTTGGCTTTTGCTTGTATGCTTATTTTTCTAACTACTTAAAACTTCTGCGTAATTCCGTATGTTATTTTGTTTCCATGTATACCCTGAGTATAACCCTTTCATCAAACTATTCACGCTATTACGTAACGCTTCTTACACAATCGTTTGTAACAACTCATCACTTTTGTTACCAATTCATCTGAACTTACTAACTGTATTTTCATTTGGCAAATTTAATGTACACACACATACAAAACAATCGTATATATTTGCAATTGTACAGCTATGAAAATGAATTCGCCGAAAAGACACTCTTCCCTGAACTACTAGTCTTCTGTTTATTAATGTTCGAATGGGGGGATATTTCATGAAAAAACTGGATCTCCTGACGACTTTGCTTATGACTGGTTGTTAATTTGTATTCGCATTGACCATTTTTAATACACTGGGATTTAAATTTGTTTAGTCATGTGACTTATTCATTACAAACAGTGTGTCTTTTGATCTTTAACTTGTCTGAGTATCAGACTTCTAGGAATTCTGTCGCACAGTTTAAGTGCTTCCACTATCTAAAATGTCTACATTTTCCTAATCAATGGAAAGAAATCAATGGAATCAAATCCCTACAAACCAACACTTGAATACCAATGAGATGCTCACTGGCGACTGGCCCTATTCAGGTAGGTGGTTGCCTGGGTTCCAGTGAGAAATCGTGACCAGTAGGGTGCAGCTGGTCGGGTGTGAGGACAAATACTCGCCGAAGACATTGGCTAGCGGTTGCGCTATGTCGTGAATTGGCAGAAGTTAGAATTCAAGGACCATTGGATCGGTCCCTGTGGCTTAATGGTATACGAGCTCGCCTTG